CCACATCTACACGGTATCTCTGTAGCGAGTTATCTTTTTTTAATTTTTTTGTTTTCCATGAAGTTTTTAGTAACTTTTGCATAATAAAGCTTATACCTATATTCAATCGTTATGAACCTATTTGAGTTTATAATAAAATTCGAATAACTTAACTTAATACTGATAATAATGGAATGCACGGCAAAAAAAATCATGGATACCAGCAAGAACATTTAGCATCAGTCAGCGTCATCGTATGTCATAGAAAAACTTTGTCTTTCATCTCAAATTCTCAAGTTACCTACTTACCTAGTTGTGATGAATATTGAACAATGGCTTATTCAATTCAATAAAGGGTAGAAATAACAAACTTGTATTACCAAAATGCGAGCATTGCAAGAGCTTACTGTACGGTTGTTTAATGCGTTACATCCAGACAAAAATATTAACGATAAGAATGTGGCTAAGTTGATAAGAAAGTTTGAAGAAACTGGATCTGCGTCTAATATTCGCCGTAATCGCCATCGATAAATCGACCAGTTATAAATGAAGCTGCGGAAATAAAATTTTTGGGACACGTAGCACTTGACAACACCCAAAGCATTCATGGTCTGGCTACTTCTTCAGGATTTACATGCTCAACAACCTGTTTCTGGATAAGCAGACAAACTGTTGGTAAAACTTGATTCATTTGAAAACTTCCCACCACAGATTTATCGAAGACCACTAATTAAAAGAAAAAACGCCACTACACGTCAAAAGATTTGTCAAGAGAGACAACTGTTTGACCAAAAACTACTTGACCTCCTTTCACCCTCGCCCTCCCCATGGTCATTCCCTTAAAAATTTTAAATAATAATAATAATAATAATAATAATAATAATAATAATAATCCGGATTTATTTATACGATGTATAAAAAGGCAAAGTGTCGCTAAAAAGCGTTTTTCAACTTAACCCAACAAATATTTGTGTAAATTTTCTAATCCCAATGAAAACAAAAAAGTTAAAAAAACCTGTAACGAGTAACGAGACTTTTGTAAAATTATTCAGTGGTTTAATAACTTTACTACTTACTTTTTACCATTTTCATCACTATCTAACCGTCTACCAAAATATAACCACCTTCGGTTTAAGGTAAATGATAAAAATCTAAAAATCAATAGAGTTAATGATACAAAATATTTAGGAATTTATCAAGATCCCCACTTGTGATGGGATGTACATATTGCTTACATACTAAAGAAAATTAGATTCATAGCATATAAAATAAAATTTCTAACTGGTATATTAACTGAATATTATCTACGAATGATTTATCAAGCTTTAGTCGAGCCGCACATAACATATGGTATAGTAGTATGGGGGTGCTGCATGGACGACGTACCTTAACGATTTAGATGTGCTTCAAAGAACAATTTTCCTTCTCACATACCATCACTCATTATCACAAAATTATTAGTGAACGCGACATAATTACACATAGTCATAACACCAGATATAAATTACGCGCAAAAAATGTTCCTAAACCATACAAATCTTTAATGAAACGATATCACCTGTACTTAGCTCCAATATTGTATGAACATTTACCAAATAATTTAAAACAATTACGCAATACATTAAATTTAAAAAAAAAATCCAAAAAATTTCTTAACTCGATTGGGAGAAATAACATTAACAGAATAATCTCAAATATTACACAGTAAATGCTATCATTCTTACAAATAATTGTTTTTTTTCTCTCTCTATTGTTTTTTATCTTTTACAATTCAACATACATATGATCCATGCATAGGCATTGTCCTATGGATAGATTATATTTATTTACTCGTTTCATGTTCTCTGTATTTTAGAGTAAATAAATATTACTATATTAATAATAGGTATATTTTGAACCTTGTTACTAAATTTACTCAAACTATACCTGTTGCAAATAAAAAACGTGATCATCGTAGAGTTTTGGATGAAGCCGCTCAAGTTAAAGTTTTGGGTCATTTTGGAATAAATCCTATTACTTCATTAAGCAAAATTGTTGCTTCGACTAGTATTTCATTAAGCTCTGTACACACAGTTACTAAGCTACATACATTTCATCCATTCAAAATGAAAATATTGCAAGAGTTAACCGAAGATGATTTCGATAGGTGAGCTGAGTTTTGTGAACAAATGACTGCAGCGATTAAAGATACTAGCATTCATGTAAAGAATATCTGCTTCAGTGATGAATGCACATTTTATTTAAATGGATTTGTTAATAAGCATAACTGCAGGTATTGGGACAATGAAAATCCTCAAGCTTTTGTAGTACGTACCCTCAAAAAATTAATGTATTGGAAGGCATTTTTGGAAACAAAGTGCCATTGTTGATCAATGGAAATTTGAATGGAGACATTTATTTGGATATGTTGGAAAATACCATCAATCCGCTTATCACTGAAACCATCGAAAACCAAATCGAAGAGGATGGAAACTCTATACTTGATGAGGCTGAAATATATTTCCAGCAAGACGGCGGTCTTTCTCACTATGTGCTTCCGGTTCGGCAATTGCTAGACGACGACAATCCAGATAAATGGATATGGCGAAGAGCGCCTATAGAATGGCCTACTAGATCTCCTGATTTGACGCCATTAGACTTTTTTATATGGGCCCATTTGAAATCTATTGAGTTTACTCCCCAACCTGAAAGTTTGGATGAACTTCGTCAACGCATTATCGAAAGCTGCAATGTTATCCCACAACATGTTTTTGAAAATATCCGTCAGGAATTTCAATATCGCCCATTTGGCCAATTACAGGCAACATTTTAAACACTTATTGAAATAAAAAGTGAAATTTTCGTGTGTTTTTGTTTTCCATCTGAACAAATTGAGATAAATTTCTAATTATCTTGAAAACGAGTGAATAATAAGTAGATGAAAATAAAAAATATCGTTTCTATTTTGATTTGAAAACATCAACTATCAATATCAAAATGTACAAATTTTTTGATATCTAAGATTTGTCAGGACATAATTATAGTATATATCAGTCACTAAAATGCAATTTGTTTTTTAAATTCCAAATATGATCCATGTAGCTAAGTCAAACATTTGTACCTAAACTTAATAAAAAAATTTAATAAATGTGCATAATGTTCTCATAATTCGAAATAACACTGCAATAGTTGGCGTTGCGAGCTCGGTGCGATGCATACTGCATAATGGGTAACAAACGTCTACTGATCCGCGGTGGTGTCGTCACTGACACATTGCTAGAGGAGAAATATTTATATATTTTAACAATGTTTAGATATTAGGAGTTCATACCACTTTAGCGTTCTGCGACGCTGTTGTAAATGATGAGTGACTTGACTGTATTTATATCTACCCATGTATTTTTCTGAATTTTATTATCCTTAAATTTACCCCATATTCCGTCTTACCTGTGATTTGTATTACTCCGTCTATGATAATTCCCTGAATATTTTGTCAATTAGATTCAGTCAGTACTTACCTATGACGCACTGACATACAACAGACACTGACTGACAAACCTACATAAATGAGAAACACTGACTTGTGTGATGCGGAGTTGCGGATGTACAGGGTCCGCCAAAGGAACCTGACGTTTTCAGAATGGATAGTACGAAGCTGTTTTTTGACGTAGAACATCGGTTGGGTCCGCCAAAGGAACCTGATGAATTTCAATATGAAACTACAAATGTGTCTTTCAAGATATTTATTTTCATATATAAGTAATCGAAAGTGTATCACATGCCATTTTATGTATGGAAAATAACTTCGGTCAAATGATGTCCTTCACTGCGGACACACTCTTCCAAACGGTTTCGCACATTCCCCATTACGCGCTGTACCATACTCATCGGAATCGCGCTAATTTCATTGCGAATGTTTTCAATTCTTCAATGGTCCTTGGGCTCGTTAAATATACCTTGCTTTTGAGATAACCCCATAACCAATAGTCACGAGCCGTGAGATCGGGAGACCTGGCCGGCCAAGGAACATCTCTATTCCGCGAAATGACTCTTCCTGGAAACATTTCTCGCAGTCGAACCATTGTTGCTCGTGCTGTATGCGCTGTGGCGCCATCTTGCTGAAACCATACAGTATTTAAATCTATGTTCCGTCGACGAAGCTCCGGTTCCAAAAATGTGTTTAACATTTCCAGATAACGTTGCGAATTGACCGTGACAGAATTTCCAGCATCGTCCTCAAAAAAATAGGGTCCAATTATGCCGAATCGCGACACTCCGCACCAAACAGTAACCTTGCGACTATGAAGGGATCGCTGGTGAAGTTCTCTCGGGTTTTCTGCACACCAGTAGCGAAAATTCTGCTTATTTACGTAGACTGATAACTCGAAATGCGCCTCATCAGACATAATTAAGCCACCTAAAGCGTTTTCATCCAAAAGTTCCAGAAGCTAGTTGCTTGCAGTCAAACGGTTCACAAAGTCTTCAGCTGTCAGTTCTTGAACCATCGCTAATTTGTAAGGGTGATAATGTAAATCCTTATGCAAAATACGCCGCACTGTTATTTCTGAAAGCCTTAGACTAATTGCTTGTAGCCTAGCTGAACGACGTGGACTTTGCTGCACCGCTGTTCGCACCCTCTCAATATTGGCTGGAGTCCGAACTGTTCGACGCATTCCTGGTGGCTTAGCTTTCATTGCTGATGCAGATCGACGAAAATTTTTGACCCACAACTTAATTGTGTTACGGCATGGAACAGAACCATGACGTCCGACATTGAAATGTGTACGAAATAGACGCTGTTTAATGATCACCGAGTCGTGATTTTTAAAATACGTCTCGACAACAAACGCGCGATGTTCACTTGTCCACAGCTCCATGACTACTGAAATGGCATCTACTACCGATGTCTTGCCCACTGTTGTATTTAGGCATCAGTGTAACGTTTTCGAATATTATCGCGAGTTTAAGGCCCGGCGCATATTGAACCCATGCCACGCGTAGCACACGCACAGCTTACGTTACGTACAGACCCAGCCTAGCCCATGTTTCGCGTTCGGAAGCGCATATTGAACCCATCCCATGTCCAGTCCACTTCCACGATGGCAGCGAATATCTGTCAGCTCCTCGATCTAGAGTCTGAGTCGGAAGACGAGGAAAGATCTATTTTAATGTATCTATTTAATCGAAGAAGAACAAAAAGCGAGAAAAATGCGTATCTGCGAAAAAGACAAAGTCATGGAGAGTTCAACTTATCTAGAGAAGTTCCAGACAGCATATTCAAAGAGACATTTAGAGTGAACAGAACACAGTTCAACGAAATCCATGAATTGATAAAGAACGATATTACGGGTAAAGAGTGCAATGCACAAAAACCTATTGGAAGTGAAGAAAAAGTAGCCGTATGTCTAAGGTAATTTTATTCAGAAAATATTTTATGTTATCAAGATATAAATTATGCATTTACAAAGTAAGGAATGCTCTTGGTAAATTATCTTCTTCTTCCCCAATGTTTGTTTCTAGATCCTCTTCATTTGCTTCTACAGGACGAATCAATGATGGATTCTGATGTAGAGTAAAGAATTCAGGGTATTGTTGTGTCACCACAGATAGTAAACTAGTACTGGAGGTTGATGAATGAATTCTCTGATTCTCTATCTCTTGCTCAGCATCATCTTCTGCTTGTGAGACGACATCAAAAACTTTTCTTCTGACTTGCCTTTGAAATTTGGTAGGAAGATTTTTTGTTACATTGTACATTGACATAAAAAAAGATGTAGAGCATCATTTTGTAACACTGCTTCTTGCTGAGATTGAGCTATTAGTTTTTTACGTAATTCTTCCCGACTCTTAGCTCTTTTCTCACCATCTTCGATGTATTTTCTCAATAGAGGATCACCAGATTTTTTCGCTTTTTTTGAAGTCCATGGATTGATCTGTTTCAAAATTTGATTGAACACTTGGTGGATCAGCAGAGAGTACATCTTCTTCTTCTACCTGGCTGTCATCAGGAGCTGAGGTGCTGGGACATCCAACAGTGAGTCTGTTTTTCATCTATGGTTTTAAAAACTCCATTTGTTTTTGATAGGTCCATGGTTTCGTAGTGGTTGTTTGTTGTCCACTTTTCTTTTGTTGCCTTCGGATAGCTTCACGATGACACTCTCTTAGCTTCCGACATTGTTCTTTAGCATCCTTCCCTGTAACAGAATAAACAATAAATTGATAAACAATAAAAATGGCATCTGATCTTTCTTCGTTTTTCAGCCTTAAAGTAGATTTTTTTCAGGTATTTGGCCACTGGTGACATGTATAACACTATAGGACTGTGAAGCGATATGGCGACGTTTACAGCCCATTTATATGCCCGAACCAACGGTGGAAATTTGGAAGAACATTGCATTAGAGTATGAAAGAAAATGGCAGTTTTATAACTGTTTAGGAGCTGTCGATGGGAAGCATGTCGCCATTCGAAAACCACTTCTGAGTGGCTCTTCTTTCTTCAACTACAAACAATATTTTTCTGTTGTTTTAATGGCGACTGTCGATGCAAATTATCGTTTTACTTCTGTGAATGTAGGTTCTATGGGTCGGTTTAGTGACGGAAATATTTTTGCCAATTCTCCTTTAGGAAAAATGTTATACAACGGTTCACTGGATTTGCCAGAACCAAAGCCTTTACCAGGACAAAATACACCAACTCCATATGTATTTGTTGGAGACGAAGCGTTCCCGCTAATGAGAAATTTAATGCGACCATATCCTCAAGCGAGAGTTGCTGGTAGTTATCAAAACAAGGTTTTTAATTATAGACTATCTCGGGCTAGACAAACAGTAGAAAGTGCCTTCGGTATATTAGCAGCTAGATTCCGGGTGTACAAGAGACCATTTGAATGTAAATTGGATACCATCGATAAAATAGTGCTAGCCACAATTGTGCTTCATAATTATTTGAGAACTAAGATTCTCTCGATTGCCACTGGCCAGGAAGAAAATGATGAAGTGTTGACTAATTCTCATGAAAATCATTTCATTCCCTTAGCACTAAACCGAACTCGCAATTCTACTGAAGCATTTAATATTAGGCAGAAGTTTACTGAGTGTTTCAATTCTGCAGATGGATCTGTTGAATGGCAACGAAGAGCGATAGAAAGAGGACAATTTTAGGATATATACATACAAAAATGAAAAGTATTATTAATTATTATTATTATTAAAAAAAATAAATATGTACTTACGATGAGTACTCGAGGAAGTGCATACTCACGTGTTCGTTCTTATAACCCAAAATATACATATTTCAAAATTACTCACCACTTGTATAATTTAAATCTCTGGCTATCTTCTCCCACAACTCATTTTTTAATTTTGTTCTCATATAATCCTCATGTGAAGTGTCATACAACACATTATTCTCCCGAACGAGTTCGATCAATTTCTCCATTTTGAATTGAAAAACGTAAACAAAGTGACCCACGATTCCACGAAACTGTGTTGCTCGCACAAATCAAACCACGTGGGAATAGGCTGGGACCGTGCTAGGCGTGGGATGGGTGCAATATGCGTCAGTTCGTCTACAACAGTGTTTTACAAAATCACCCACGCGTGGGCTGTGCGTGTGCTACGCGTGGCATGGGTTCAATATGCGCCGGGCCTTATACGTCTATTGTTTAGGTAGCGGTAGATTTTGAAAATTGATTCAGAGGTGGCGGAAATAAAATCCCTAGAACATAGTGTTACGTTTTAGATATTCCTGCTCATTTTCAGACGCTATTTGGAGTTGATGGACATTGTAGGCTGGAAGCTGTATGCGATAAATGGTTGTAAATTGTTGCATATTTTGATTTCAGTAAAATACATTGTAATACTAAAAAGTTGCCGATCTCAGTGATACCATGCACCTGTTAGACATAATAAGTCACACATATTTTTCCTACATCTGCCATGGAAACAGAAATATATATTTACTTTATATCATTTGATATGTAGCGGTTGAAGATTCATCGTACTTAGCTAATCACGATTCGATTTCGCCTTTTGAAACGATTTGACTCTGATTCTTTGAAACCTCCAAAAGCGAAGGAAGTATAGAGTCAATCTACTTGATGCACTTTTTTAAGTAACATGAATGTTCTTTAGGAGAGGGAGGAAAGTAGTGTTGGGTTAGTTAATTCCATACGCTACTGTAAAAAAATATATTTAGATAACATAATAATAAAAATGTTTATTCACGTATGTCAGTGAATGCAGCAATTCAAATAATATGTACATACATATACATATAGGCAAATACATTTAAAACTCCCACAAAAAGGATTTATTAATGCTCCAAACAAATTCTTCATATTTTTGCCAAAATTAGAGAACCTCGGCGACTATATGAAAAAGTATAAATTCATTCTATATTACAACTCTTCAGAAATGTTTTGCGTCCTGAGTGATTTACAGGGTGGGCCAAAGAAAAGGTCGCACCCTTATTTGTGACTCTTCTGGTATATGTTGGAAAAAAAACGCTAGGTCACGTCAATTTTGATTTTTAGGGGGCGTCTTTTCATCTATAGTCGTACCATACAGGGTGATTAAAAAATAAGAAATTCGGTTACACTTTAGATTTTTAAATGGAAACCTCCACAGTTTTTTTTATTTTTTTATTTTTAGATTTTCCATGAAGTTTTTAGTTCCTTTTGTATAATAAAGTGTATACCTACCTTCAATCGTTGTGAAGCTTTTTGATTTTATAATAAACTACGAATATCTTAATATTGATAATAATGGAATGCGCGGTAAAATATTTAGCATCAGTCTCTGTCATCGTATGTCATAGAAAAACTTTTCAAATTGTTAAGTTACCTACCTAGTTGTGAAAAATATAAAATTTAGCATCAGTCACTGTCATCGTATGTCATAGAAAAACTTTGTCTTTCATTTCAAATTGTTAAGGTACCTACCTAGTTGTGAAAAATATTGGGTTAGAAATAACGAAACTGAATTACCAAAATGGGAGCATTGCAAGAGTTACTTCCCGGTTAACGGAGTATGTGGCTAAGTTGATAAGAAAATTTGAAGAAACTGGATCTAATATATATATATATCCTGTAAACTTGACGGGCAAGACGTACTTGGACATGTTAGAAAATGCAATAGAGTCACGAATTACAGAAATAATAGAAAATGACGTTCACTATAATGGAAATTATATTCATTTCCAACAAGATGGTGCACCGTCGCACTATGTGGCTCCAGTATTTACACAGCCCATTTCCCGAATTAGCGGAACGGCAGACAAGGCCCCATCGACTGCCCGCCGAGATCTCCGGTCCTAAGTTCTTCAGATTACTTTTTTGGGTACATTTGAAAAGTAAAGTTTTAAGTAGGAAGCCAGATTCCATTCAAGATCTTCGTTAGAGGATTACGGCTAAATGTGACAAATAACATGACATGCTTAAACTTGTGAGGAATAGATTCGAACAAAATCTTTATTATTGCATGGAGGTAAATGAACACCACTTTCAGCACTTATTATGGGTGTTGTCAAGTGCTACGTTTTCCAAAACTACTATTTTTGCGGCTTCATATCTAACTGGTCGATTACGGCGAATATTAGACGCAGATCCAATTTCTTGAAATTTTCTTATCAACTTATCGTTACAGGTTATATAGGTACTTATCGTTAATATTTTGTCTGTATGTAACGCATTAAACAACCGGGCAGTAGCTCTTGCAATGCTCCCATTTTGGCAATACAGTTTTGTTGTTTCTACCCTTTCTTGAATTGATAGTCATTGTTCAATATTTATCACAACTAGGTAACTTTATTATACATAAGTTACTGAAAACTTCATAGAAAATCTAAAAATTAAGAAAAAATGGGGGTTTCCATTTGAGAATCTAAAATGTTAAGCAATATATTATTTTTGGATCACCCTGTATTGTACGGCTATAAATGAAAAGACGTCCCCTAGAAATCAAAATTGATGAGTCCGAGCGTTTTTTAAAAAAACCTATACCAGGAGAGTCACAAATGAGGGTGCGATCTTTTCGTTGGACCATCCTGTATGTAAATGTACTATGTATGATTTAGATCGCTACGAAAATGCTTTTTATTTGAAAAATGCTTCTTTCAAATATATTTTCACAATGTGTGAAGATATTAATTTCCAATGAAAGCATTATTGCGATTTACTCTCCAATTTCGTTGAAATCCGTTTATTTAGGAAGTGTATATAAGCTATTTCGGAACGATTCATATGTAATAGTTTTTTTGCAATGAGTTATTTTTAATTTACTGATTGGCGTCAACTGGGTGTTAGTAGGTGTCTAAAAAATTGCGTCAAATAGGTTGACTCTGCACTTCCTATACAACGCATAAGTTAAACCATCTGAGAAAAAAAAATAGTTTTGAACATGCACAATAGAGAAATTAAACGGATCAACTCTGTCAAACAGGCCCATTCAATTAGTCTGTAGACAATAATCAAATTCAAGCGGATAACCAAATGAAAATGGTATTTACCATTTTGGGTTGGTATTTACAGATCTGTTCAAGCGAGTGTGGTTATCAGTTTGGTTATAAGATCCGTGACGTCATGAATCAGCTGTTATATGTCACAGTTATCACCGCAAAATTGTGGTATTTACCCAACTCAGGAGTAGTTTTATATTTCTGGTTATTATTTGAAATGTCACAAGTCAGAATTTTGCCGGGTATTGGATATTGTTATTGTACTTCAGCTTCATTTTTGGGAAACTTGATACAGGCTGACTTCAGTGTTAGCATAAAGTGGAGCACCTTATTAGTTATACTCATTACTGCTGTTGAGAACACTTTCAATCTAGTTCCTATGTTTAACAAAGTATCCTGTGTAGCCATATACTACAAGAATATTAAAATATGGCCGCTTAACTCACTGGATGATGTCCACCTGTATACGGTTTTGCTAATATCTTTTTTCATCATTTCCGCTAAATCAATAAATGTTTTCTTTGAAATGCCGAAAACTTTAGAGAATTGAAAGTTATCATAGCTACAAAACCATGGTTCCATCATTAAAACAATTTTTCTGAAAAAAAAATATTTCTCTCATGATTATTATGAAAGGTTTCTTAATTAATCTTTCCATACACCGTTGTAGACAAAAAAGCACAGATTATTAAGTGATAACATAAACAACTTGCAACAAAACCGCGGTTAAAACCAACGCGTTCAAGCGATTCGTGCATCTGACGTCATCAACCCGTGTGTTATCTTGAACCATATTATAACCGCGGCACATAACACAGAAATTTTGGTTATTCGCTTGGATTTGATTATTGTTTCCCTGCCCTACCGGTAGTTACCGTCCACCTATCAATGTTGCCAAAGCTTTGATAAATATAGTGATCCTTCAGAAGTTCATTTCAGGTGAAAAAATGCAACAAATTAGTTCTATCTTCATTTAATAAAACATTTTCTCCACTAAAAGCCAATCATCATCCAGACAAACCACTTTACAAAAGCGTATTCTTGTCAACATGACATGCTTTGTCATTTATTTGAAGTTACAACGTCCTTAACCTCAAAAGCTCTCAACATAATTCAGCTGACGCTTTCTGTAAACCAACGAGCCAATTAACAAAATTAGAGTTTTTAGCAGGGAGCATAAATCCACTTTACAAATCTACCTAGTCGTTGGTTGTCGCATCCCTGTCGTACACGTCAGTCTGATGCATGATCTAACACGTGTTGACAATGTCGGTTTCTCCGTCGCAGTCGCCCGAGTCGGTCGGGACAACAAACAAAACCGAAACGACATCCAAAGCCTGCTTTGATGTATCTGGTAGGGACCGAACGTCACATAATTTATGCCTTGGCTCGACATTCGACTTTCTCGGCCTTCTTCGACGATACTTACTATGTTTTTCGGATGTTTCTCTTGGCTTGCTTTTCTAATGTTTATTGCTTGCTTTTAACGCCATGTGAACTGATGTTTCAATTAGTAACGTCGAAAATAAACTCGTCAATGAATTTCTGACAATATATTCTGTTAAGTTTTCTTCTTTCTTGGCATTCCACGATTGCATTTTCAAAAGCTATATTTTGAATTACACATCTAGTATACTGCGATAATGGTAATGGCTTTTATCAAGCAGCTGCTTCAATTCACGAACTACATCCTGTCAAAGCTTCCCAAGTAGGAGCAAACCCCAGATTTTTCGTCCAATAGCAAATCGCTACCATACTGAGAAAATGTGGTCAATAAAACAGTTGTGCTGCTAGAAAATTTTCATTTCACGTAATGATATTTAAGTATTTTAAGTAACTAATGATTCGATTTAATTAAACTGAATTTTTCGAAACCAGTTTGATTGAAAGTAATGTAGGTACTATTAATTACCTTACGATTTTATTAAGCTGTTTAATTGGTTTAAGTAATTTAGTTTATGTAGAAAGGGTGAATTATATAGTATACTGCGATAATGGTAATAGCTTTTTTCACGAATGACCTCGTGTCAAAGCTCCCAGCCTTCCCAAGTAGAAACAAACTCCAGATTTTTAGTCCAATAGTAAGTCGCTACCACACTGAGAAAACGTGGTGAATAAAACAGTTGTGCTGCTGAAAAATTTCCATTTCCCATAATGATATTTAAGTATTTTAAGTAACTAATTATTCGGTTTAATTAAACTGAATTTTCTGGAACCAGTTTAATTGAAAGTAAAGTACTATTAATTATTTTACTATTCGATTAAGCTGTTTAGTTAGTTTAGGTAATTTAGTTTATTTAGAAAGGGTGAATTATATAGTATACTGCGATAATGGTAATGGCTTTTTTCAAGCAGCTGCTGCAATTCACAAAGGACCTCCTGTCAAAGCTACCAGTCTTCCCAAATAGGAACAAACTCCAGATTTTTCGTCCAATAGCAAGTAGCTACCTCACTGAAAAAACGTCAATAAAACTGTTGTGCTGCTGGAAAGTGTTCATCTTCCATAATGATATTTGAGTATTTTAAGTAACTAATTATTCGGTTTAATTAAACTGAATTTTCTGGAACCAGTTTAATTGGAAGTAATGTAGGTACTATGAATTATTTTACTATTTTATTAAGCTGTTTAATTAGTTTAGGTAATTTAGTTTATGTAGAAAGGGTGAATAATATATATAAAATATGACACAAGGCAAATCCGATGTGTATAGGAGAAACAGCAAAGGTCCCAACGCTACTCACCGTCCTACTTATTGAAAGTGAATCGCCT